GGGGCGGCCAAGGGAGAGGGGCGGCACCTGTGTCAATTCGGGGGCGGCAGGTCCCTCACTCCCTCTAGGAGCGAAGGACCTGCCGCTGCCGATCGCGGCTTTTTTTTTTCCCCCTAACTGCCGCCGCCGATCGCGATTGCGGCTTTTGTTTGTTTGTTTGTTTTTGCTTGGGGCGGCAGAAATGCTGGAGCCGGCCCTGCCAACAGGTGCAGCTCTCCAGCCGCCCAGCTCTGAAGGCAGCGCAGAAGTAAGGGTGGCAATACTGCAACCCCCCCCCCTAAAATAACCTTGTGACCCCCCTGCAACTCCCTTTTGGGTCAGGACCCCCCAGTTTGAGAAATGCTGGTCTCCCTGTGAAATCTGTGTAGTACAGGGTGAAAGCACATAAAAGACCAGATTTCACAGGGGGAAACCAGATTTCACAGTCCGTGATGTGTTTTTCGTGGCTGTGACTTTGGTAGGGCCCTACTTATGCTGTGGCTCCAATGGTGCAGAGGAAAGCTTCTTTCTCCAGAGCATCCATGCAATCCCGATGAGTGCATTCTGAATCTGAGCTGTGAAGCAGAGTACAAGGTTTCTCATGGAGAGGAGTTTTCTGGCTACTTTGCAAGAGTAGGTTACTCAGAGTGTGCGCAACTGAAGCTCTCTATGCTGCAGTGGTGTAGATACTTGCTACAGCAATGGAAGGGGTTTTTCTGTTGCTGTTGTAATTCCACCCCCTTGAGAGGTGGTAGCTAGGTCAATGGAAGAAGCCGTGTCTACCACAGGGCTTAGGTCAGCTTAACTACGTCTCTGAGGTGTGAAGTTTTCATACTCCTGAGCGGAGCAGCTATTGTTAGTAAGTTTTAGATGTAGACCAGGCTTCAGATTCATACTGGATGGCACCCTGCTTTCAAACTCTTATCCTTGATTTCATCAATAGGGAGGCTTTGGCCTCCCTTACCGTTTAAGCCAAAGCAGACTTCTTGCAACTCTTCATCAGTGGGCTCTCTGGTTCTATGTGGGGCTTGCAATAATTTCAGTTTTTGTCATTGGATGTCTGTTCCCTAAAACTCATAGGATTCTGTTAATCTTGAAAGTTGCCATAAATACATCCAAGCAGAATAAACAATTTAAATTAGAAACGTGGATACTTGCAATTAGAATTTGAATATAACGTTTACTTGACATTTATCTAGATTAGGGTGACCAGACAGCAAATGTGAAAAACCGGGACGGGGTGGGGGGTAATAGGAGTCTATATAAGATAAAGACCCAAAAATCGGGACTGTCCCTTTAAAATCGGGACATCTGGTCACCCTAACCTAGATGTGACTTCATCCTATTCACACACTTAAAAAAAAATTCTGCTATGTTTCCATATAATTCTTTAGTATAGAGGAAGTTAGAAAGAGATTTGGCTTTTGTTTTAATATCTTTTTATATGGCTACCCTTCAAGAATAGCCCAGAATGCAAAGCCACTATACTTTGGCTCCAAGTTCATTAAATACTAAAATGTTGTCTTAATATCCCTTATAGGAAAATATCGCATGCTATGCTAAACTATGCAGTCGGTTCTTAGTAGACACTTATTTAATAGGGGCGTAGTTGTCACTTCACCATTTGCCTATCAAGAGGTTTTTATTTACTCACATGACAATCTCTTTTCTTGTGGTCTCCAGAGACAAATATTCAGTCCAGGAATTTTCGTTGTCATACGTCTTGGACTCATCAACAATCTTCTGAAACATAGTTCTCTTTCTTCAAAAAACCCAAAGAGGTAGGGAAATGAATGCATGAAATATGGAGTTAGCAGCTCTCATTTTGATTTCCCATGGAAACACTGCACATGAGCAATCCCTCACTCCAACAATTGTTGCCCGGGCTTTCCCCCAGCCAAGTGACCACCACAACAATGTATTGTTATTTGAATCTTTTAAATAGGACAGAGTGTTTTAAATAATTGTAAAGCACTTAAATGTTGCAAAAATCCGTTTTAGTCAGGTTGAGGCTTTGTAAATACAGCTTGAAAAGTTGTGCTATTGCAACTTTAGATTAAAACTTATACTGAACTAAATTATAAATGCTACTATTATATAGCGCCATACTGCCCTAGCCAAAAGCCAAAGTACTGACTCTCATCCTTAAGCAGGTAACCAGCCTTCACTGGGACTGTTCGTGTGCCTTACCAAGTTTACAAATCCTTGCCATGGAAATATCAGAAAGAACACCATCGCTCCAACGGTATTTCTTAGTGGCATAAAATGTTCACTTCTAAATAAAACTGCTTCAGTGCTAACAGTGAAGTTACACTTTCAGTACATTAAAGTTATTATGAACATTCTTATACACTTCCGACATTTTCAAAACAGGAGTCTAAAGATAAGCCCGTATTTAGGCAATGAAGGACTGTGTTTTCCAGAACTAGATGACTTTGGGGCAGGTCCGGATTTACACCTTACGCGTCCCTAGGCATGGGATCTTCAGTGCTGCCCGCCCCCCCGCCACTCCCCCGCCTATAGCTGATCTTCGTGTTGCACACAGTTTTAGAGAGGTAAGGTGTCCCTAAAACACCAGTGCCCCATGGCACGTGCCTACTGTGCCTAATTGGAAATCCGGCCCTGCTTAGGAGCCCAGGTGTCTGACTTCATACTGCAAACCCTGATGGATGAGTATAGCCCGGTCACGACTTGAGGAAATTAATTATATTGGAAGGTTAGTTGCCAATATAGCATGGGCCATTTGCTTGTCTATGTTCTGTTTGAGGCTATGCTATTCTCAAATGGATGTTAACAAGACCAAGGACTGTTCTTTGGCACTGATCAGTATTTTTAGTGTGAAACTGTTAGTGTAAAATCTGAAGTGTAATGTATTAATAAGCAACAGAGGGTCCTGTGGCACCTTTAAGACTAACAGAAACATTAATAAGGAAACTAACTAAAGAAACCAGGAAAACAAAATCACTCTGTTAGCAATTTAAAACTCACAAAAGTCAATTAGGAAAAAATATGTATTTAAATCAAAATCAGTGTTTTAAAATGATTTAAAATTAAGTAATATTTGACAGCACACACATGGTCTCCTGAAGACACAGCCGCTGTTAATAGGAGTTCTGCCCACAGAGAGCCTGGACAATCAGTTGTGATGTTTTAGACTAATGTGACCAGCTATTTGCAATGTGCTTGCTGAAATACACGACTCACTTACTTGAAGTAAAGCGCTAAGTCAGTTGCTATGATAGCAATTTCCATCAAATGATTCACATGCTCAAACTGTCGTCTGTTGAGATTCTGGTAGATATTCAGGGACTAAAGGAAAACAAAGTTTAGTACGTGATTCTGGACATCCCGTGGATTGTTCATCTCAGAATATGGGTATTAATTCGTTGTGTAACATCTTCAGCTACAGTTAAAATGCAGGGCTGAGGGCTCAATCCAATTCCCATGGTCCATGGAATGACACCCAATGATTTAAATGGGCATTGGATGGGGCCAGTACCCTGAAGTAGTTACTCAGCATATAACTGGACTCCTATTGTTTTCAATGGGTGTTTGCCTGAAGTAAAAGTTTAACCGAATGAATTTGTCAGGATTTGGCCCATAGTGGGGGAAGGATGATTAAAGCCAGTCAATGGGCATTATGGGTTCTGAGTTCTCTTACTTAAGAAACCTGTTAGCTTTGATTCAAGGTCTCTCCCTGGTTCTGTCACAGATGCCTTGTGAAAACTTGGGCAAGTCACTTAACTTCTGCACCTCCATTTCCCCCTTATCTGTAGAACTGCAACAACACTGGCCTACCTCACTAGGCAGTGGTGAGGCAAGCCAGTAAAGTGCCGGGAGAACCTCAGATGGAGAGTGCTGTGTAGGTGAAAAGTATTTTTATGTATATGATGAACATACCAAATTACAGAAGGTAGAGGCAGACTGGAGATATGTCTTTCACTGTCCCTAGCTAGAGGATTGAAAGTACGCATTAGAAGGAATGTCTGCAGTACAGGGAAGTATTCAAAGGCTTCAGATATTTGGAAGTGCCTGATAAAACATGGGAGTTGAAGATTCTCCTTTACAGGATTAGGGCTGCGTGAACCTCATGTCTGGTTTCAGTTTCATCACACACAGACTATGTTCAGGGAAGAGGCTCACGAATCTCAAGAGTAGGGTTACCATTCGTCCGGATTCCCCCGGACATGTCCGGCTTTTTGAGCTAAAAATAGCGTCTGGGGGGAATTTGTAAATGTCCGGACTTCCCCCCCGCCCCATGCAGAATGCGCGCGGCTAACAGGGCAGCCGGCCGGATGGTGCCACTTACATGGGACTCCGACAGCCAGAGAGACCCCTCCTCCTCTCCCCTGCAGCAGAGATCACTCCCTCCCTCCCTCCCTCCCTGCATTCGCAGATCGCCTCCGGCAGTCTGGAGCTCCTCCTCCCCTGCTGCCCAGCGTGCCGGGACGAATGGCTCCGGCCGTTCCTGAGCAAGCTCACAGAGACGTTAGGCAAAGGCCAACAACAAGGGGGCCAGGGGGTCGGAGAAGGGGCAGGGAGGTTTTGGATGGGGCAGGTCAAGAGACGGGGGTGGGGTGGGGTCGGGAGTTTGGGGGGGTGGCGTTCTGGGGGCGGTGGATAAGGTTTGGGTCAGTCAGAGTACAGGTAGGGGG